TCTCACCTGCGCGCGCGTTGCTCACTTTATCTTTCTCTCTCTCTCTCTCTCTTTCTCTCTTTCTCCATCCTCCCTCTTCCTTTCTGTTTCGCGTTCTCGTTTTGCGACTTCAACCGCGATCCACTTCGCAGTCAGCGAATTGGAGTACGTTATCGCGATTAATGGTAATTAATAATACGTTACTGTAGTTGAAACAGTTCCATTCGAATCGCTCGATGGGCAATTCGCGGGAATCCTCTGGTTTGCGATGCAATCTTTAAGAAACGTCCTCTAAGAAATATTTGTCGATTATGATATTTTTTTAGTTCATTATTAACGTACACCACTGGAGATTTGTTAATTACATCAGTTTCTCAGTTAATTACTGAAATGTATCATGGATAATTCTTCTGTTGCAGTACTATGAAATGTCATACGGCTTGAACGTGGAGATGCACAAGCAAGTAAGTCTGAAATTCCATTTTTTATCTCCGCCTGTCACCGAGAGAAAACTTAATTTCGTTTTTTCCGCGCCGTTTTATCATTTTACAATTCGTAATTTTTACACATTAAAACAGATTTATCTTTCGAATACAACATTACAGAAATTTGCATTCTATTTCTAGATACCTTTATACATCTTTATTATATTTGTACATCATAATCTCGTCAGTTTCGACTTTCTATCTATATTTTATCTTCCGATATTGATATCAATTTCTGTCCTTTCGTGGATCCAAAATAAAATAGATTTTTCTGTCCGTATCTATGTTTATCACGCTATTTATGACCGTCTACTTATTCATGACTCAATGTCCAGCGAATGGACGCTACCGGTCGTTGGGCCAGGTTCAAAGAACGGCGAAAGCATCTCGGGATTCTCACGGCGAATCGCCGGTAGGAGGGCTCGGTTCCGTAAATACGTCTCATTATTTCGTGCGCCTCTACGCCTCGCGAGTGCCTTATTCTCGGAATACGCGCGCCGTGTAACCGCTCCGCGTCGTCGTCGTCGTCGTCGTCGTCGCGACGAAAATAGAGAAACGCCCCGTTGACAGCGGATCGCCTCCCGGTTGGAAATGTGTGTAGCCAGCCTCGCTCGTTACTCGCGTTTAAAACGACGAAGCGTTAGGCGGTCATCGCCTAACTCGCGCTTTCATTACTCACTCGACGCGTCCCTCCGTCCGCCAAAATGCCCCTCCCCGCACCTTTCCCTGAGAGGGAGATGGGAGTAAATACCGAGACCGCAACTGAGACTTAAACTATTACTATTACTCCTGCGTGCGCGATGCGTTCCATATTCTATTTCGTTTCTGAGAATTCTCAATTCGTTCGTCGAGGCTGTCGTCTTACAAAACATATATACTCGAAAATACTTGAAATATCTTATAATCTTATTTTTGGTAATTTTTTTTTGCCTTTTTATTAATCTCATTCTTTGTTATGTATTTTTAGAATAAAAATTAAATCATCAAATTGTTATTGCACATGGAAAGAACACTTTACTGAAGTGTCTTGAAATTTGATTAGATACAGAAGTAATTTTTTTTATTCAGAGTGGTTGCTAGAACATCAAAAATGTTTGCAATATTATTACCATATTTAAGTATTAAGTATTCTACATAATAATTTTGATGGCCTCAAAAAATTATTTTATCTAAATCTGATCAAGTTTTTTAATTCAGGAAGACCGTTCCTTTCTCTGTATTAACATATCAAATATAGTAAATTATATTTATAATTTTTCCAATTTATTATCGTAATTTTATTTATCTTTTACCGTATGTTTGTATCATTGCAGACGGAAATATGTAAGAGACTGAGCAACATTATCGGCCAAATTTTGCCATTTCTGTCTCAAGAGCATCAACAACAAGTTGCCACTGCTGTTGAAAGAGCAAAACAGATTACGATGACTGAATTAAACAGCATAATGGGGGTAAGTTCATAAATATTATAATACAAAGAGAAACACACACATTGTGCGGGCGAATTATTCGGTATTTTCCAAACTTTCCAACAAAAATATGGCAGGAATAAATGATTCTTTTATTTCGGTTATTGTTCCACGATCGTTATGTTTTTCACGGCATGTCGGCTGTTTTTCTTTATTTCATGACTGCGATGTTAAGAGTAATTGCGCACACGGTCGAAACGCGGGATTGACATTCGGCAGACGCGTCGCGTATAATTAGATTCCGAGTTGATTCTCGCGCGCATGACTCGAATAATTTCTCAGCTCCCCAAGATACCATTGTTGGAACAAGAATGGTCGTGTACATCGAAAGAAGTCGATGGTTATCTCTCAAATTTTCACGCGAACGAATCAACGTTCTTGTTTAAACCTCAAATCACTATCTTTGAAATTATCGACCGACGTTTGTCTCATGACGAAAATAATTTCTCTTGTACATGGAAAGACCAACGGTTTTGCTGGATATATGAATCTGAAAAATAATTTGATCGAGCCATCAAAATAATTATGTAGGACATTTAAATTGCTAGAATATAAAAAAAATTTTTATCAATATCATCATTATAATTAATCATCCTATAATAATTTTAATAGTTTAACAAAATTATTTTTCAGATTTATATTCGTGGCCAAATTTTTAGATCTTATAGCAAAATCGTTCTTTCCCTGTATAATTTTTTTTATTTCGCGAAGTCGATAAATCATATTAAATTGTAAGTGTAATTCGTTCGCAATATTTTACCGAGATGCGTCCAATCGTCGAAACATCTTTGGCGAGAACGATTTAAAAAAAAATGGATCGTTTGGATAAGGTCATCACGGTATACACCGCAATCTCACCAATCTGTCATTACGCGACGCGCGTCGCTTTATATATACGCAAAATATAATTAGCGTGCTAGTATGTTACGGGCTGTCGCGAGAGGGGTTCGTGGCGAAGGGACTCGCACGATGGGGAAAGTACGGGGAGAAGCGGATTGGTGGCACACAAAACGCCGCGCGCGCGGAGGGAAAGGGTGCGGCGCAGACCGAAGGGACGATGAAGGCAAATAGACAGAAGCGCTAACCCTCATGAATATGTATTATTCGGTAAACAGAGGTTGAATCAATATTTCGTTTAATAACACTGCACGAGGAACGTATAGTCCTCCATCCCCTGTTTCCCCCTCCCCTCTCCTCTAACCCTCTTCCATCTTTCTCCCTCTCACTCCCTCGGGCGAAACGCGATGATGCGGTCGCGGAGTTCTCCGATCCTTCTCTATCTCTTTCTCTTTCCTTCTCTTCCCTTTCCGTGCCACACGCGTTGCGCGTATTATTCACGGCGCGTTAAACCTCGTTTGGGACTATTACGTTTCGTTTCACGCGCCGGAAACGAACGCCGCGATTTTCGACGTGCACCGGCGCGAGTCCGCCGTGAGGGTCGCGCGATTTTTCAATCTAGCGATCGGAGATAACGCGCGAGTTTCGTTCTGATGCGGGCGTTTTGAGGCGGTATATTTTTTTAACATCATCCTCCAGTCGCGATACTGCAGCCAGAGATTTTATTCTAAACCAAAATCACGTTGAATTATCGTCTGCCCCCCTTTACCCGTCTTCCTCTCCCCAAGACCGCTCGCTATTTTATTTTATATAATAACGCATCTTTGCGACGTAGCGAATTTTTCGAGCTCAATTTCGTAGCCCATCATCATCCCTAATTCTTGAAAATTTTCGCACACATAATCGACAAAATCACACGCACATATCCGCAGATACGATTTATGCGAACGTTATTTCGCATGCATGGTTACAGCAACAGAGGCCAGACATGCGATTCCTTCAACAAGTGCACGCCCAGCAAATACCACCTGGAACGGCGATGGCTCATCCGGGTTTACCTGGACTTCCCGGATTGGGGCCAGCTGCCGGGCTTCCGGTACCGACTTCCGCGTCCGCGGCTTTGCTCGGCCTCGGATTGACGCCTGGGGCGGCAGCCGCGGTCCCCAGCACGACCGCCGCTGCGCATTCCCTGTCGATGCTCGTCAAGCCGGACATCCACCGTGGTCAACCGGACGATCTCAAGAGCAATGGCGGTAAGTCGATTGTACTCCCGATATCTTTGATATGCGGCCACACAATCGCGTCGCTATGCCGGATGACCCGATGACGTTGTTTCTCGCTCCCATCCTCGTGATTCCATGAATTTCTGAATTTCTAAATTCAGAATTATTTTCCATCACTTTTTATCCCGTCGAAATTGTTATATTATTATTATTCGTTGCAATAATTATTTTTCACCGTTTAATTTTATACGATTTGCATAAAATCAACGCGTTGCGTTGATCTTTCTAGCTTGCATTTCTGTTTTTTTCCAATCGACACGATTATTATCTCATCTCGTAAATAAAAAAATGGAAAAATTGACAAAGAACAACATTCTTTGTGCATGCTCGATTTAACGATTGAAACTTATATAAACAATATTGTTTGCATGATAATATTTTTCAATTTTATGTAATAACCGAAATAAAAAAAATTGATTGATATAAACACAGATAAAATCGATATACATATAACTTTTGATATTATACCGGTATCATAGCAATATTATAACAATATTATTATCATATTATATTATTGAAGCAATAATTAAAGCATTAACATATAAAATTAAAATTTCTGCTTTCCTTTTGGCAGTGCAAAACTCGAAATAAACAAACCTAAAATTTCTCTTGTAAATTTAGGAAGAAATAGTAACGTGATTAAGATTAATTATAAAGTTCCCATTTCATATGCCTTATTTCGTTCGCTTAATTTCCTTTGTAAAATATACATCATGAGTAGACTCCAAATCCGATTTATTTGATAACATTAACATTCAATAATATATTCAATGTATATACATAATCCCTTATTATACCGGAAAGTCATGCATATACCAGTATTATGAAAATTTCGATATGCTTGTGTATTGATATTGCGTGCGTCTAAGAGAAAAAGGGAGAGGGAAAGGATAACATAATTATATAACTGAAAATTTTTAACATCGCAGTTTTATCCGAATAAAAATGCGCCCAAGTGCGCACGATTATTTCGATGTTTAAGCTTTGATTTTGGCGTATATTCCCGCGGGAGAATCAACCATCTGCCCATCATCACGACACATTAACGAAGATCAGCGGGAATGTCGATAAACACATATACATGTTTTTTTAATATATTTATTATTTATACATATTTAAAGCATATATATATATATATATATATATATATATTTATATAATATGTATGTAGGCGAGACTTTTGACGAGACCCACCCTTTTTCTCTCATCGGGAAATGTTCAAAGCGCTTTATTACGGGTATCCGCTTTCGACGGAGCGAGCGTGTTTGCGTCACCCTGTTAGCGGACGCGCCAGCGGCGGTTTTCAGCGAAAAGCGCGCATAAATATGCATGAAGATCATTTATATGGGTACCACCCGGGCCCTTCCGTCTCATCCTCCACCCCCACGGTTTCCTCCTCCTCTATGGCTACTGACCGTCGTTTCACGACGCAGCGTGTTATTAACATTTTATCGATACTCGACGTTCGATCGTTCTCGATATACTTGCGCGATTCCTCCGTATCTTATCGCCCAGGCACACGTTTATAGCGATCTCTAATATATTCACGCGGTAACCTGTGTTTCAGGCACACACCGCTTTGTAGCATGTATCACTCATATGCTCATCCGTTTGCTTTCAGGTCTAAGTTCAGCGGATGACAGACACGTAAGTAACATCCCTTTCCATTTTATCACGACGCGTTATTTAAGTCGCCATGCATGCATCGTGAATCTCAAAAATCTTTTCCTCCATCGGGAAAGCGACTGTTTCTTATTTTGATAAGAAGGTCGTACATAGGAAAGAATAACTTTGCTGAAGTAACTAAAATCTGAAAATAATTTTTGTTAGGTCAATCAAAATAACTAAGTGGAACATATTGATTGTTACGAAATAAAAATTTTTACCATATTATTGTCGTACTTAATATAATTATTTTAATGATCAACCCAAATAATTTAGATCTAGCTAAATTTTTAAATACTTTTGCAAAACCATTCTTCCCGTATAACATTCCTTAATATTGGCACGTCGTTATTTCAACGACTAACTCAAAACACAAAAATTTAATAGATATGTACATGTAAGTCGAATCGAATTTCCATCAAGTTAATTAAAATTATTTATCGTGAACGTTGCGTATCGCGCTGCTGGAAAAATTTCAATTTCGGACAAGACGAAGGAGAAACCTTCCGAAAGTTAACGAAACGTTCGTGGAGGTCTATTCGTCGCGTTTTGCAAAAGCGACGGTATATATAACGTGAAAACGCGTACGGCTTGTACAACGTGCACTCGACCGAATGGCACTCATCGTGGCCTCGTGTATTACACGCACATTACGCACGTGTAACTTGACTCGCGCGCGCGTCAAGAGTGCAACGAGCGCCGCTTCAACGTACTTCGCGTACGAGTGCGTGCTGCATATTGCAATTTATACTTTCGACCGGCTCTACTGGGGGGGCGCGCGGGGGGCACGAGACGTGAAGTGGCGAGAAAGGGAGAAGAAGAGGACGACAGCGTCACTTCACCAACGAGCTATTTGCATAATTTCGAGTCAACCCCCTCCCCCGATTTCTTTCTTCCCTCAATCGCGAGGACTTCTGGAGAAGCCGAGTTCCACTCGCACTCGTGATTTTTCTCCCGCGCGAACACAGCAGAATGTGCGACGGAGCTTCGTCGCGCGCGGAGGTAAACCGTCGCTTAATTCGGGGGATTACATCTCAAAAACGGCGGATGTGCGCCGTTCTTCCTTTCTGTGTCTCGTAGCCGAGAACGAATCCCGGCGCGCCAGCCATGCTCGGCGTAAAAATGAAGGCGAGAAAGAATAACGTCGGGCAAGAGGGAGGGGTGTATCTTGTATTATGGGTTTGCCGAGCCTGTAATCATCGCGAGACCGCGAAACGCCCATCGACGCCCTCTCATTCCGCCCTCTCGTCATTCTATTTTCTTCTCTTCCCGCCCGTCTGCCTCTTCCCCCCCGACGGTCGGGGCACCACTTTTCCCGGGGCCCGACCGTCCTCTCGCGCCGCGTGATCGTGCCTCTTTTTCTCCCCTTTTGTCCCTCCGCCCTTCCATTCTACGGCGCTTCGCGTTGCGTCACGTCGATGCGCGCCCATTCTATAATCATTATCGGTTTTCACAGCTGGATCGCACGATGCACACACCGCACTTCTTCCTTTTCGTTTTCATTCCTTCGTCCGTTTCTCTCCTCCTTCCTCTTTCGCCGATACTCGTTTACCCACGCATATTTCTCTCTCGAATCCCGTTATGCCCCATTACAGATTGACCGACGAAACGGACTCGCGCGCCAACTTTTCCGCCAATTTCCCCTTGACCCCCCCCCCTCTCGCGCGGAAAAATTCATGCGGGAATTTATTACCGAGACTTCTGATATTAGATCTCGTGTAAATTCTCCGACGCGTTTGTGTATGTGCACAGAGAGAACACAATTTTTAGTGGCGAGTCTAAAAAAATTTGACCAAATACAAATCTGAAAATAATTTTGTTGGATCATAAAAAATTATCATGTAGGACGCTTAAATATGATAATAATACTGCAAAAATTTTTGGTCGTCTACCAATTTTTGTACCACGTACATAATAATTTTGAAGACCCGACAAAATTATTTTCAGATTTGTATCTGGTCAAACTTTTAGATTTGCCAGCAAAACTCTTCTTTCCCTGTGTTTGCGCTCTGTGGCACTCACATACGTCCACGTTCATCTCCGCAATTATGCTAATTAGCAGACATTTTGTTGCGGATCATCGATTCTTGCTCGAGGCTCGTTCTGCGAACACTTTTTTTTTCTGCATTCGTTTGCTATTTACATCATGCAATTCATCCTCTCTCTACCTATCTATATTTATCTTCGAATGTATACTGCTGCTGCGTTTGAGAGGTTTTTTTTTTCCGGAGCGTCTGATAAATAATGTTTAATAGATAGATAAATAAATAAATAAATAAATAAATAAATAAATAAATTTCGTGCAACACCATCGGCAATTTCATCGTACGTGCGCGTCGCGCGTACCGACGCTCTTCGGGCGGGTGCGTTAAATTGATATTTCATTGAAAGGCGGTCACAGATGAAAAATCGGCGCGCGGACGCGCCGGCGCGAGTTGCGCCGGTGGAAGTTACGTTTTAATATGTTCGCGACGAGTCGGATATCGGGGGCGGGCGATAGTGTAGGGTAAGTCGAAATCGATTATCGCGCGCGCTCGCGTGACGATTGATAATAACCCGCGTCGACGCCGGTAATTACGGTTTTGTCACGTTCGCCGGCGCCGCGGGGAATATGTGGCTAATCCGTTGTTCCAGCCTGTACTTGCCGCGCGGTGTCTGTTGTTAAACGAGATTAACGATATCCGCGGGAGATTAACCGAGGGGATCGCGGGCGGGAGAGAGGGGGGGGAGGGGAGCCCATATATATCCGTTCGAACGACGCGTATCTTCATCCCGTATCGCGTGTTCGGTTATACATCGGCGTATCGCGAACGCGAGCTTTCTATCTTGAAGGAAAAGAGGGGTTTCCCCGTCTGCATCGGAGTGTGTCGGAGTTGAAATATCGACGATCCGCCACGCGCGATTTCGAACTCGCCCGACGTTTCCTCGCGGCGATCGCGCATGTAAATTGCGATACACGCGGCGCGATCATTTATCGTCGCCCTTTGTGCGTAATAAAGTGGCGTCGTTACACTACCGTGCGTTTTACAGCGGGGCTCGATATCGCCGGCCGACAAGTACAACCGGCCGCGCACGCCGCCAGAGACAACCCACACTCACCATTCTCACCACTCGCAGAATCATCACGATCACTCGATGCACGCGGCGAAGAAGTTGAAGAAGGAACACGAGAAGGACGCGGTACATGTAAGTGTCTAATGGTAAAAAGATTATCTCGACGGTGCGTTTTCCAACCGTGCGGCAAATTGTGCAACAAGTCGTCATAGTTAATTAATCGCTACTGCTCGAGTAGCACTTCTTTATTGTGGTAAAATGATGATAATGATCATCCAGTGATCCAGTTAATCTTTGAGACGTAAGTAACATCGATCTATGAAATCGCTCTGTTTACTTCTCTTCAGTTTCAACAATCTTTACACGAGGAACATTTGTTTTTTCTTTTGACTTTATCTTACTTTGTTCGCTGACACGCTCTTTCGAAAAATTTCTGATTAAAATCAATATTTTCGATCATTTCTCCGTGAGCGGTAACGAAACAGCAATGCGGGATGATTCGGTAGATTGACATCACGCTGTGATCGATTGTGACACCGTTAAAAAATTACTCGAGGGATGAGAGACTTAATCACGCGCGATCATCGGTGTTCTTTTCGCACAGAGTGACGGCGAGAAGAGCGATCAGGATTTAGTTGTGGATGACGCGAGCGACGGTCCGCCTAGCCCAGTGATGAATGGCGTGACGTCGCCGCGCGAAAACGGCCTCGACAAAATTTCCTCGGTGCCGTCGATGGGGGCTGCCGGCGTGCAGACCATAGGGAAGAAGGAGTTGATAACGACGCCGCACTCGCCCAGAAGCGGCACGAGCAGCAACGCGAGTACGCCGTCAGCCAAGAAGATGGAGGAACGCGAGAAGCCGGCGACGCCAATCTCGAAGTCGTTCACGCCGACATCTGTAGCAACGGCGGCGGCGATCGGCGGCATAAAGTCATCAGGCTCGGGGAAGCACTTGCAAGGCCCGTCGATGCCATCGAGCTCGATACCACCACCTGCGGCCGCTTATCCGAGTTCGTTGCATTATCCGCCACCTGGCCTGCCACCGCCGCACAATCTGGCGCCGGTAGCGCATGGCCAGCATCCGCATGTCGACGTGATGACCTACAACGGCTATGCGACACCAAGACCTCCCGCCGCTTTGCAACAATTGTACGATCCCCATGTATCCCTGAGGACTTCGATCGCTCCGCAAGGAGGGAAACCGTGAGTACCCAAATCCACCTCAACCGATCGAACTTTCTAACGCTTCTGAATATTCATTGACGAAGATTTCGGCTGTTTAGAAATTTTTTATTTTTCCATAGACCACAAGAAAAGAAATTTTTACTAAAAGTAAAAATTTGGCCAGATACAGATCTAAAAATTGATTTGATATGATCATCTAGATTTAGAATTATTTAAACATGATAGTATAATATTGCAAAACTTTTTTATATGATAATCAATTTAAACGTCCTACATAATGAATGGCCTGAGACAAAGAGAATTTTCAGATCTGTGTCAAATTTTAGGTACTTGAACTATTTTTTTAGTGTAATAATACAAGATAATAAAAAAAAAGTAGGATAAAATTGATTAAAGATTAGATATGAGTTTCTTGTAACAAATAAGACTCTGAGTCACGAGACTGGAATGAATCGGTCAAGCGTAAATCTGATCTGAAATAAAACTTAAGTTGCATAAATAATAATTGACATCGGAGATTGAAAGACTTATCGTGATCGTTACGGGACGGGATCTCGCAGTGCATACAGCTACCACGTGATGAGCGACGGACAGGTCCAGCCGGTGCCGTTTCCGCAGGACGCCCTCGGTGGCGTAGGGATTCCGCGCTTCGCGCGTCAGATTAATACCCTCGAACATGGCGAAGTAGTCTGTGCGGTAACAATCTCGAATCCAACCAAGCACGTTTATACCGGTGGCAAAGGTTGCGTCAAAGTTTGGGACATCGGCCAGACGAATGCAAACGACGTAAAGCCTGTCTCACAACTTGACTGTCTTCAACGTGACAACTACATTAGGTGAGTAAGGATCGTCGATCGTGAGGAGGTAAAAATGCAAAAAAACACGTTAAACGATAAACGTGCATTTCCCGTTTTGCGCAAACGGCTGTGCTAAAAGCGGTTTCGCTCCGACTGCCTCTCTGACGCAGATCGGTGAAGTTACTTCCAGACGGTAGGACGTTGATAGTAGGTGGCGAAGCCAGTCAACTGAGTATTTGGGACTTGGCGAGTCCCACACCCAGAATCAAGGCGGAGTTGACTTCATCGGCGCCCGCGTGCTATGCTCTGGCGATCTCGCCCGACTCGAAGGTTTGCTTCAGCTGCTGCAGCGACGGCAACATCGCGGTATGGGACTTGCAGAATCAGACCTTGGTCAGGCAGTTCCAAGGACATACCGACGGAGCGTCGTGCATCGATATTTCTGCCGATGGATCGAAGCTTTGGACGGGAGGCCTCGACAACACCGTCCGCTCCTGGGACCTCCGCGAGGGCAGGCAATTGCAACAACACGATTTTAATTCGCAAATATTCTCACTTGGATTTTGTCCCACTGGCGAATGGCTGGCAGTCGGAATGGAGAATTCACACGTCGAGGTATTACACGCAACAAAGACGGACAAGTATCAGCTTCATCTGCACGAGTCCTGCGTGCTATCGTTGAGGTTTGCCTCGAGTGGCAAATGGTTCGTTTCCACGGGGAAGGATAATCTACTGAACGCTTGGCGTACGCCTTACGGAGCATCGATATTCCAGGTTGGTGTACTAACTAGCTACAATCTCCCTTCATCGCTTCTCGCTTCTCCTTCGTCGATAAGGCGCGAACGAAGGAGAACCCTCGCGCGTAATAACGTGACCGCGATACCACTTAAATATCCTAATCATTTTTCTTGGCACGGGAGAATCGCGCGAGAACGAGGACTCGAGTGTCTTTAATTTGTTTCGAATCGATTTAATTTATCGAACGAATCGAAGTTATTTTGATAATACATTAAAAGGATACGAATGCAAGAATGCAGTCGGTGACATTTAAATTCCGTAGCCATCTGCGCTTATTACAAGTCCGGCGGGTGCAAATTACGCAAATTACGTTCGCACCTTTCACGCGAGAAATAAGTACGATGTTTACGCGCCTGAGACAAGACGGCGAGACGAGGTGTCGGGGACGAACGCGAAACAGCTCATTAAGGAACACTATATAATTACACGATATAAACGAGCCATCGAGTCATGACTCGATAAATGAAAAAAAAGCTGATTTATAAAGCTTATGAATAATCACTGAGCGCGCGCGATTTCGTTATCGAGCAGAATTCGAAGTGGCACAATAATAATAATAATAATAGATATCTGCGAGGCGGCTCGTAAATATATTTATATTTTTTTTGACGTTTCATAAAACGAGCGAGCGAGCGAGCGAGCGAGCGATGCTCTCCAAGTTTTTAAAACAGCCTATCTTAGCTTTCTTTTTTTCCTTCTCTTTATTTCTCACTTTCTTTCGCTCTTTTTCTCTTCTTCTTCTTTCCCTTTCTGTTTTCTCCGTGCAAGCAGGCAGTTCTAGTGTAACTGTTATCGCGGCGCTCACTCGACGATATGTTTGTCGATTATATTTACAGGCGAAGGAAACCTCATCGGTACTCAGTTGCGATATATCGACGGACGACAAGTACATCGTCACTGGTTCTGGCGACAAGAAGGCCACCGTCTATGAGATTGTATACACGTGAAACGTATAACGCTGTACGAGAGGCTATCAACTGGCCATTCCCTGGAAACAGAGCGCTCGTCAAGAGCTCTTTCGAAAGTGTTACGACGGATGATGTGATACCGTTGTTGGTTCTTTTTGTTATCGCTGTTGTTACTCGCTCGTTGAAAAAGGGAGATCGTCAACGCAAGGCCGGGCCACGAAACGGACACGATTGATTCGGATTTTAATGATTGATTTAAAAAAAAGAAAATAAATATTTATTTTTGACATTTCAAACGTAAATAAGTATAAAGACGTCATGTCATATTATTTAACGAGATTATTTTACAAAACTGGAAGGTTTTGCAGAAAAAAACTTTTTCAAATTTTTTTAAAAAATCGATAATAAATTTATAAATATTTATAGCGCGAGTTTGTCAGATTGCAATTGAATAAAAACATGTTGTCTTTCATGAATATAAGAATCGCCACGAAGATTGACAAATGTTGTAAAATAAGGTTGCTAATAAAAGGTGCTAATAAAATTTTGCAAATTTTTTTCAAAATTTCCGGAACAAGGAAGTTGCGTTCACAGGTTCAATTTCTAACTGTTTAGCATGTACATCCTATTAGATTACGATCCGTTTCGCGTGGCACGCACGATCGCTCTTTGATTGTGATTATTCGTATCTCTCTTATCTGTACATTTTGTAAATAACAAGTTTTAAGTATACCGTGATATTTTTCTACTACACCGTAAGAGCGAGATGACAGATTGTAAATATTTCAAGATTAAGAAATTCATGAAAAGTCAGATGTGAGGATCGATCAAATAAATGGTACAATACGATAATCACGGCTGGCTATCATCCTTGTTTAATATATCCTTCCTAAAATACTGCTACATCCCTATACTTCTTAAAAAAAAAAAAAGTAATTTTTGCCACTACTATTTTTTTCTCTTAACGCATCAATGTAATTCTGCATCCAGGAAAACGTGAAAATTTAGTAATAGGGAGAAAGAGGGTGGCGAAACAGCGAGATGACCTGTCGCTCTGTTAAAAACAAAATGATTAGTGGCCGGCACGCCGATAAAAATCGGGGCTGCGCACACAGCGGGCAGGTGTCGGTGGAAATAAAAAACAAGGACCACTCGTTACTCCATCCACGCGAATGTTGTTAGCGCAAAAAAGAGACATCAACAATATTTAGTTGTATGTGCCGGGGCACAACGCGGGCAGCGGCGGATCGTCATGAAAATTACGACACTATTTCGCCGATAAAAACAAAAAAAAAAGAAGAGCAGTCACCGCCGCTCGCACGGGCAGCGTGCTGACGGTTTCGTGATTGTCATGAAAACAAATCGGGGCGAGCTCGATCTCCTACGCGCGCGCACTCCGGTGTATACGGGTATGGAAAAACAAAAAGTCCAAAAAGAGAGAGAAAGAAGAGAAAAATGTACGCGCCGAGCATTGCCGAATTCAAAACGATTGTATTTACGCCTCCGTATCGCATCGCGAATTTACGCGAGTCGCGCCACCCAACGTATAATTAGCGAGGCCATGTATGCACGCATTCAATGGAAGGTTCATCGGCGTAATGTTATTATAATAGTGGCACGTTTTGCATATGTGACCACGGGTGACGGTCGCTTCGGGAGAAGTAGGTGGGGCAGGGGGTACCGGGGGTTGGCCGTAACGGGGGAGGAATAAAGTCGGGAAGGGTGAGGCTGCGATGACGGAGGGGATGAAAGGGAGAGAAAGAGAGAGAGAGAGAATGTGTGTGGTTTTACGCGGGTTTTGCCGGTCGTATTTGCATGATAATCATATGTTGCGCGCGCGCGAATGCGGTGCAGGAATGACGCGAAAAGAGGATGGGTGAATGCGACGATGGGAGGAAGAGGAGGAGGACGACGAAGAGGAGAAAGAGGAGGAGGACGACGAAGAGGAGAAAGAGGAGGAGGTGGTGGCGGTGGTGGTGGTGGCGACTGTTGGAGCCGCGAGATTTGTATATCGCGGCTAAATGCGTCGGTTATTACGGTTAATTCGACGACGAGCAACGGCAGATTACGCGCGAAGCGTATTACCGCAGTTTATTCGCGCCGGATTATTCGCGTGCGTAAACTTATCGCATCGCATTACGCGCGACAGCCTATAAAATAATGCCCGCGACAATAACGCACAACAACAATCGACTGTATAATCGTTCCGTTACAATTTTGCATCGCCTTTTAGCAATATATTTCCCTTTCGCTCTATCTATTCCTGCGAAAGTCTTAACGGGGGGAAACGAACGCTAAAATCTTCGTCGCGCGATCTGAAGATTATTGCGCGACGATTATTCCACATCTTGCACCGTCATCGTCACCATTATCGTCGCCGGCGCCCGACCTAGCGCAGTATGCGATCCAACAGTTGGTGGCACTCATACACAAAGAGCTAATTTTCCCTCTGCCCGTCACGTCCTCGCCGGCAACTCTCTGCGCGGCGCGCACGCAACGCGACAAATTAACAGGCACGCAAATGAGCAAGTTCACGCGCTCGCTTTCGCGCTGACCCCCTCTCTCCTCCCCCCCACCCTTCTCCTCGGCACAATTGGACACTAATAAACGCACGTCCATCCCTCTCTATTCCTCTATCTCTCTTTCCCCCGCTTCATCACTTCTGTCGTTCCGAATGCGTCCATTCTCCTCTTCGTTGACGCTTCTTCCCTCCAACGTGACACGAAGCGTCGCGACGTCGCGCTGTGCCGCCTCCACAAACGCGAAAGTAGTCGCGTTGAATCGAGACGTGTCACGATATATAAATGGAGAAGATGAGCCTACCTGCTTCGTGTTGGTAGCAAGAGCGATCCGATTTCGTACGTTGGATCCGTCGCATCGATGCGACAGAGGATGCGGTCGTGGCGCCTCGTCATAGACCGTCGTCTCGCTCACTCGATTATCGCTCGATTTCAAAATTAGTGCGATAAGCGAGCAGCGGCGACACTGCGGACTGCCTGTCGTCATACATGCACATCGTTCGGACGTAGAAAGGATGAGAGCGGCAGAGAGGGAAAGAGAGAGAGAGAGAGAGAGGAGGGGCGACGGCGGCGATGGCGGTTATCCAGATAGCAGATAGCGTAGGACGGCGGTCTCGTTGCGGCTTGACCACCTTGCGGCGCACTGCCCTAACCGCCCCTAACCACCGTACCGCAGCACCACATGGTGTGTGCAACTGGCGATAACGTCGCCTCGCTCGCAACGCCGATGCGTGTCGTTGCACCGGCCACGCTTTCGCGAACGATCGCCCCAACTCTGCCTGTTGTCCGTTCGTGTTGTCCCGACATAGGATATGGGAGGATTCCTAGCGCGTTAATTTTCTTTCATCTCTCCGAATTCTTGGACCGATCAAGAGCCGACCTTTTAGTAAAAATGTCGAGAGAATGTCATTTTAAGTGGGCCGTTAATCATCCGTATTATGTGTATACTTGTTACTTATTCGAAGAAAAAGCCTACTTTGTAAATGGAGAATAAAATTCTGCTACCTGTTGGCATGTCTGTCACTCAACTCTCATAAGAGTCCTGGCGAACCTCAATATCGTTTATGACTCAAGAATCACCGACGTCGTGAATGTTTCCTCTGCCAAGGGAAATATAAATTGGCCGAAAAGTCTTGAACGGAAGGCAACTCCAGGGGCAACTAGGCAAATCCAGAACGCCCCTTATATGTATCTTGCCAGGAATCCACAAAGCCGGATTATCTCGATTGTGGCCTGTAGGTCCACGAACGCGAGCTGCGCAAACTTCCCCGAAAGGATTATCCCCGCAACAAAAATAACGACTGTTTGTAGACTGGCGAAATATTACGAGTGGCCAATAGAGCCTTTAACGACTCACTAGTTTCAAGAGGGAGAGAGAGAGAGAAAAAGAGAAAGAGCAATCGCCTTCTGACCAACGAGAGAGAACGATCACGTGACCAGTTAGACCAGCATAAACGAAATCCTTTGGATTTTTCGACTATCTCCACCGGCGTGGTCCATTTTTCTCCGGAGATTGGCTTTTCCGAAACGCTCGATCGTTAACCGGTCTAATCGTCGGTCATACGGATGCACGCCGGAATAATAATAATAACGGATAGATAACAGGGTAAAAGCCTCTAACTATCCTTTTGAGGCAAGCCCTTCATGCAATAAAAACCGTATCACCGGACGATTACGGTGAGAGAAAAGCGAGCTGTGGGAGCCTGCTAACGAATATAGTCTCATTCAAAGTGTGATTGTCACAAAGTGACGGTTGCGTCGAGACACATAGGAAATACCAGCGTTAACATTTGGCGCACGAGCTGATCTCGTATTTACAGGCCTAGAGTGACATGGGTTCGCGTTTACGCGCTGACACGCGGTAGTACGCGGCAGATGATTGAAGAGCTGCGCGTCGCGTCGCCTCGCGTCGCACGAGAGTTGAGCGATTCCGATTTCCTAATTGCGCAGAATGGGAGAGACAAAGAAGGGGAGAGAAAGAGACAGAGAGTGTTCCGTGTATAGAACGACTTCGGTATATTACCAGACGTCCGACGCCAATCGTCGTTATTAGCATTACGATATTTAATTACATCGCGGGCTGTCAGTCATCATTACGATACATTAATTACATTGTCGGTGTAAAATCGATCAAGGGTCCAAGACACGCGCTATACTTATACTTCCCGTTAGAATTGAGGTTGCGGTCGTGTATATATATATATATATATATATATATAT